CCTGGCGTGCACATGCAAGAGGGTCTGCAAGAGCAACATGTGCGAGTGTATCCTGAATGGATTGAAGTGTGGTGATCTATGTCGTCTGGCGGACTGTTCAAACCAGCCCGATGAAATGTCATTTCAATCAGAGGAAGATGAGGGTGATATTGACTTATTACCGGATATAGATTAGAGCGTGGTGCTCTCATTACATTGAGAAGGATGTCGTCCCCCTACTTATGAGATCTCTGGTAAGCCTCAAGGAAGCTTAATTGTGAAGTCAAGGTCATACTGGCATTGCTCCTAGAAACAACTTTACTTTAATTTTACAGTTGTGTTCCATGATGATCTCCCAAGCAAAACCAAGAGCACGGCAAAACTGAATGTTTGGTCACGGGTGTGCCAATTGGTATGCAGCTTAAGTAAAGAAGAAAAACAAGAACAAGATGAAAACTAAATTGGTACAAAAACGGCCTAGTAGTGGTCGTATCATCACAGCGAGTTTGGACCAAAAATGCTTTGAAAGTTCCAAGCTTAATTCACTACCACAGGGTTCCCACGGCCTAAAAATCATAGACAGCACAAATTTTTTAGATTAGTATCTACAAAACATTTTTCCTATATCATTTTTTTTTCAAAAAGATCCACATTCATTACGAAATCCAAAAAAAATTGGTAGAAATTAATTTTTCAAATATTTCTTATAATTCACTGGAAGTGACGTCATAAAATCATACTGTTTGTTAATTCTTTACATTAACACACAATCATTTCTTAAATGACAACATTAACCTTACATGTTATTTGGCACTTTGGATCGAATTCCTGTGTCTGCAATGGGATTTCAATGCATTACCCGGGCTATTTCGGATCGGGTGCCTATTGCCCAATTCAAGGTCATGTGACAGCCTTAAGCTACCAGTACAAACTTGCTATCATATATTTTTGGATTCTACTCATGATAAGCTTTAATTTGATATATGATAGCCTTTGCCACCTCAGGTGGTGCTGAATGTCGTCTTGGCCCATGGACTAATTACAACTCCACAAACTGTTAGCTGTGAAACTCACCTGGGTTATTTCATTAGCAACACACAATTTTTTGTGCCAACCCCAGTCTCTGCACGGCCTTGCATTGTTTTCTGCCACGGTGACCGTTCGTGACCAGGAATCATCCGTTATGAATGAAAGGCTAATGAAGAATTTAAGCTAGGAATTAGTGGTTCCGTGGCAGATATACCATGCTCGAGAAGACCAGTAAAGCTGTCTACAGATGCAAAAGCATTTATAGATCAGCAGATGTCCAAAAATGGTGAGATAAAAAGCCACTAGATCCAGAAGAAGTTGGCAAAACATGGAATTATCGTGAGTTCGTCCTTCATGAAAAGCTCTCTCCACTGGAAAAGCAAACTCGTAATAAATTTTTGAAATGAATCATTGTTGCACTACTGTGAAGGAGGTCTTCCAGAATTGTTTTTCCCTGTAAGTTTTAGAGTCCCAAAGAATACTGCATAGGCAACAAAAATGGAGCGAAGTACACTTAGTATCTTAATAACAAGTAACCACGAGGGGGCTGGGATCGAATAAACAGCAGCTGTCTGGTTTCGCGAGCGTTCAAATAGACAACATTCTAGTTCTCTACAAAAGTAAAGAACCTAAAAACTTTTATGTTCAAAGGAGGCTTCGATAACCCTTGTTTATGAAGTTTAGGCTGTATTGGTGAATGGTATGTATTGCTGCCACTTTGCAAAACATGGGTATAGTTGATTGAAACACATGGTGTATCCAGCTAAAGAAAGGTGTGTTTAGATTGAAAGTTCCTCACAAGTTGTTTGTGGCTGTTTGCTATAGTGGCTTAATACCCAGAACTGGAGATGTTTTTGCTTTTGTTTTTGGAAAAAAAACTGAACTCGCTGTCTTCATAATATGGTAAGTACATTCTAATTCTCTACATATGAAACTGAACTCAAGAGAAGGAACCTGCTTGAAAACCTTTCGCAAATTTTAGGCATTTGACTGTATGTTATCCTTTTACAGGGCTGTCAATAAGATTTGAAGTAGGCGGATATATTTTGAAAGTGGACAGCTACGGGGGCTGGACGCCCCCCCATAGGCAAGGGGTCTGGGGGCTGCTGAGGCCTCCAGCGGGGTACAGGCGCAGAGCCCCATTGAGGGTCAAGGGGGCAAAGCCCCTGGAAGCAAAATGAATTTAACGTTTTGACATTGCCAAAAATTGCCTTTCCTCAGAGACTTAAAAGAACAGTACTATTAATGATTAAAACTGTTGGAGTGATCTGTGCTCATACAGTATTGTGCAAAAGTAACGCAAGCGAATTTCGACGAATTTCCTGGCTTTTCTTGGCTTTTCGAAGAAATTTCGCTTCAAACGAAATTTCCGCGACTTTTCCGCGAACTTTCAAGGCACCTATTGTTCTACTCCTCCTGAACTTTCGAACGATAATTTGCCATGGACGCTAACGAGTCACGAAATTTCGAGGGAAAGTTCGCTCTTTTCGATCGTTAGCTGCAAACTGTCACAGGAAAATTTGCTCTGGTTGTTAAGCGTTCTGATACAAACTGAGCGAAATACAGCTACAGAACGTGATTTGTTGTGTAAAGAGACGTAGAGAACATCTAAAATTAGGTTCATAAACTCAATCAACTACTCTATCGATCTTACCTGTTGAATGTTTGATTGTTAATGTATCCTAACAGCTAGAAGCGTCAGAGTTTCAGTACAAACTTGCAGTTTCAACTACATGAGCACTCCAGGCAAGTAAAACTTGCACAGAGTGCCATTTGTTAGGGTAAACCCCTTCACGTTACAAAACATGACATTTCTTGGTGGGATTCCAGTCTCCGCACGAGCAAGCGTGACCTGCATTGTTTGCAGCCATGGCAACGCTTAGTAAACCACTTTCTCAATCATTTGCTTCTTAGCACTTTAGTGATAATCATGCCGAAAATTTCAAGCTATGCGAGAACTCAAATCGAGCGCCTCCATCCAGCTGGAATATTGAAAAACTTGAAAGGTGAAGGCTTAGTTGTGAGCCTTTCAGGCATCACTCGCATGATCAAGAAGCTGCGTCTTACCGGCTCCGTGGCAAATTTACCTTGCTCGCGAAGACCAAAAAGCTGTCTATAGAAGCACGAGCCTTCATAGATCAGCAGAATGATGAGATGACGAGCACCAAGATCCAAAAGAAGCTGGCAAAACATTGAATCTCCGTGAGTTCATCCACAGTATGGAGATCGTGAAAGCAGCAAGGCTGGACTCTGCAGCTGACTGCCTATTGCCAGCTGATTCGTGATGCCAACAAAGTCAAGCGGCTGGAGTTCGCACAACGCGTTTTGGAGAGTGGTGACACTCCACAACGTGATTTTTAGTGATGAGTGCTCGATTTCCCTTCAGTCGTATTGTCGTACATGCTTCAGGATGGCGGACGAACCTACTAAGCGAAAGCCGAAACTGAAGCATCCTCTCAAAGTTCATGTCTGGGGGGGAATTAGCTGCCATGGTGCCACTAAGATTTGCATCTTTGATGGCATCATGGATGCTGATCTCTTCTGCAATGTACTAGAGACGACGCTCGTCCCATTTGTCAGAAACAAACTTCCTGACCACCGGCTCATGCAAGATAACGATCCCAAACACACGTCCAGGCGAGCACAAGCCTTCTTTGAGACGGAAAGCATTAACTGGTGGCGTACCCCTTCGGAAAGTCCTGACCTCAACCTGATCGAAGACTTGTGGCATGAACTTAAGTTCTACTTGGAATCTAAAGTCAAGCCACGCAACAAGCAAGAGCTGGGAG